CCGGTCCTTGTTCTTTTATCAAATCAACTGTGATTTAAGAACGTTAAGTGTCAAATACAAATCTATTAAATACAATCATTTTAAATATCTCCTTCTTCTTTTTCCCTTAAAATGTTATCCTGTTGAACGCCGTTTATACAAATGGCTGACTCTCCTAGACTTCTTTTAGTTGCTTCATTTTTTTTAAATGGTAACAGAAAACAAAAATGCATTTCTAATTGCTCACTCACTTTCAAAAAAAAGGTTCAGAACATAAACCTCATTGAAGTGTTTTTTGCCACTAAAATACAGTTGTCATATTTGACTCATTATGTGAGTAAATTACCACCAAAGTCATCATAAATTTGGGAAAATACATAGACAAGATATGCCCAAGACAAACAGAGCTCTAAATCTTGCTCTGTCAACAAATAAGAGCTAACTGGACCAGTTTCTATAATTATTGAAACACTACAATCTGAGTTATAGGTGAGAAAAGAGGAGACAAGTTTCTGAGTTCCAGTAGACAGATTGACTATCAAATATAATTTTGCTCCCTTATCTTATTATGAATGACATCAGGAAGAAAAATGAGATTGACTGGCTTGAGGAGTGTGGTAAAATGACACTTTTTACATTCCAAGTACAGTAGAAATCTGACTAGGACAGTTTTTGAGGTAACTGATAAGCATTCATATTTTGTATTCACAATATTATGAGAATGTCTGATTGGAAGAAACTGTAATAAAATATGAAAAGATTTCACCACCAGACTCATCACCTTGTGCGCTCTTTGATGCTGCTCTAAACATAGAGTTTTTTCAACCTGTAAAATGGCAGTAGTAATAGCATATAATTCTCAAAAGTGTTAGAATTACACACAAGGTAATATAGGTGAAATTTTAGCATAGTGCTCTAGCATAGTAAAAAAATGACACTATCCATACAACTTTTTTAGATTCTTTGGAATGAGCTAAGGTAATGTGTATGACCTTCCTCTTTTTCTCCTCTCCACATAAAACCTCTCCTTAATGAAAAAAATCTCAAGGCTGTTGATGAATAGCCTGGTCTCTGGAGACAACAAACATGAAGCAACACTGAGGAAGAGGGAAAAGTCAGAATCACTAGGCCTGCTCCAGCCTGCTGTGAAGAGGACAACAAAAAGGCATGATATTGTTGACACTTCAAGGACTTGCCATGAGTTTTCTGCACATATTCCAAAGGAGGCGTAACTCTAGGAAACTTCTGCTTAAACCACCTGCAGAAATTTTCTTCCAGCACAGCTCCTACAGTAAATCTTCTATTACCAAGAGGCTTGTTTAATTAACAATAACATTCAACCACATACCTGTATCCCATCTGTTTGACTGAGGTACAGCTGGATGTTGACATAGTCAGGTCTGTTCTCTTGCCAAAACTGAGGGCATAAAAATAAGTACAATTATTAAAGGTCTTTCAAAATGCTCAGATTTCCCTTTCTAACATGTGATTTTATAATTAGCACATAACTTAGCTTATCACAATAAGCATTTATATGCAAATGAAACGTAGCCAGCTAGACAAGCAGATAGCTATATAGCTAGTTAGGTAGACAGCTGGATTCTAACATTCATAACCTGCCTGCCCTACTGGTAAAAATCAGGTATAATAATGGTGGTGGAGGAAAAAATTCTCTATCTTTTAGAGAATCAATCACATTAAACAGTGTATTAATATTACCTAGTTCCCTTCCAAATATTCTTTATTTTATTCCAGAAGTTTACTCATTAAAATATAATTTTCACTTTAAAAGGAGACAATAGTGATACAGAATATGCATGCTAGGAAAATCAAAACAAAAATAAAAACAAAGAAAAAATGGACACATTTTTCTTTTTCCTGCATTCTATCTACTTAACAATGGTTTTCCTTGTATAAAAATGTCTGAAGAAAGAAATATTCTGCAAGAAGAAGCAGTCTTAAAAAATGTGGAACAATAACTTTCCATTTCTCTATCCCCCCCCAGACTCTGGAAATCACCATTTTACTTTAAGTCACTAAGAATTAAACCTCTCTAGATACCTCATATAAATGGAATTGTGAACATATAAATACATCATATTTATGTATCATAAATGCATAAATATGGCTTATATCACTCAGCCTAATTATCTCCAAGGTTTATCCAGCTTGTAGCATATGTCAGAATCGCCTTCCTTTTTAAGGCTAAATAATTCCACTGTATACATATATTTGTTTATCTACTCATCAGTTGATAAGAGTTTTTGGGGTGTTTCTATCTTCTGAAAATTGTGAATAATGCTTCTATAAACATTGGTGTACAAATAGCTATTCAAACCTTTGCCTCCAGTTATTCTAGGTATACACCTAGAACTCATCTTTTTGTTTTTTTAAAGCATAAAGTCCAAAAGCCTAATACAGTCTACCTGTCCCCAGAAAGGCATATACTACCTCTCTAGTCACCTATCCTAACATTCTTGCCTTTCTTGCTGGGCTTCATCCACACAGACCTCTCTCCTCTTCCTGCAACATGCCAGCATAATACAACATCTAAGCCTTGCCTGGGAGGTTAGGTTCCTCTGCCTTGAATATTCCCCAGGATAATTCAGCAGTTAGCTTGTTCACTTCACTGAAGTTTCTGCTCCTACAACATTTTGCTTGCTGAGTATTCCTCAACACACAACATAAATGAACATGTGCTCTCTTGGTAACAGTGCTCTATCTCTACATCCTTTTTCTTCTTTGTCCTAACTGAAACCTCAGAATCAGATATCCTACACATTTATTGGTTTTTTTTCTCTATCTCTTCTACTTAGAACATAAACTACATGAGATCATAAACTTGATTTTACTTTGTTGCCTAATGTTTTTCCAGTTCCTAAAACAGTTCCTTATTTATAGTAGACACTCAGTACTATTTGTTGAATGAGGATGCCTGAGTGAATGAATTTTCATTCACATGCAAAGAGGCATGTGTAATGATCGCCACTGCAGCACTCTTTGTAATAATAAAATAGTTATCTATCATTAGGGAATTGTTAAATAAACTAGATATATCTGTGCCACGGAATTCTCTGCATTACAAAGAATGAGATAGCTTTGTTTGCTAATGTGAAAACAATACCTAGTATATTCAATAAACTGTTAAAATTTCATTTTGAAAAAAATATAAGTAGTATGATAGAACACTCATATGATGACTCTGGTTACAAAGACTGGGTAGGGAAAATGGTAAGGGAGATTTTACTTTATCTGAATTGTTTGTAATATTTATAGCAAAGACACATGTATGTATTACATGTACTATTTAAGTACATAAAGATAAATAAATACAATGTTATAGATAGGATATATGAAGAATTTATCTGTATTAGCTATTAGAATTCTGAGTTTTTGAGATTCTGCATTATGTATCAAGATGTCTGATGATGGTCTGCTTATAATGTAGAGGGGGGAAAAGGAGATAAGAGCTACAAGAAAAAGGTTCAAGATGCTTAGCAAGTGTCTGCTGATGTTCCCCTCCATCTCTCCCCCGTGCACCTCTAGCAACAAGTATGTGCATTTATGTTGAACATCTTGTGTTAAAACATAGAAATGAGTGTCTTATGTTAAAATAGGTCATGGAAATAAACATATATTCATAAACACCCATATCTTAAAAGATGCATTTCTAATTACTATCAGATATTATCTCTGTCGTTTAGGTTTAGAAAAATTTTTATTTGTTCTACGGCAAGCATTTACTGCTGTCATAATACGAAAGAAAATAACTATTTTTTAAAATGAAAAACTGTACAACTAAAAAAGAAGAATCCCAGTTTTACCTTGTTATGCAACATACAAAGTAAGTCTGCAAACCAATGGAAGGATTGAATGTCTCTGCACACCCAAATAAAATACAGTCTTCTAAGCTTGTATGGTTTCCAGTCATCCCTTTAAAATTAAAATAACATGGTAGTGGTTAGGACTGCCAAAAGCCCCAGAATCCCTATGTTCATGAAACTTTGTTTTTCATTAGTGAGCAAGCAACAGAAAACACCAGGCAACCAACAAAAAAAACAGTCTTTGGCATGCTAGCATCTCATACAGCACTATTTCTCTCAAATGTAAAAGTAATATGCAATATACTGACTCCAAGACATAAGGGCGTGACACACATGAAATGCTTATACTAGTAAATTCTATATGCATATAGCCTGTTTCAATTTGAAGAAGATAAACTGAATACTTGGGTTAGAATAACATTGTTCCATGCATCTCAGAAAAATAAGTTCTCTATTTTCAGTGAATTCTATCATTGAACAGCACTCCAAAGGTCACTCAGTCTGCCCTTGCTTCCAGACAAAATGAGCCAAAACCGTTCCAGAAACTTGGTTGTTTATCCCTTTCTTAATGATCATTGAAGAAAGAGATTTCATAACCACATACTATGTAACACATTCCAGCCACTCTTAATCCCATGTCTGGATTCCTATTTATAACTATGAAGTAGACTTGAGGTTAAACAAATGTTCTTTTTCATAATATTGGGTATCCAAATAACTTGAATTATGTTGTCAGAAACAAATGATTTCTGGCTTAGAAGATGGCTATTTTTGTAAGAGCCTCCAAAAAGTCCTGAAATTACATCTAGTATTGAAAAATCAAAATAAAGTGTCATTAAAATCTTTATTTTTTATTTATTCATTCATTTATTCATGTTGTTTTGAGACAGAGCCTCACTATATAGTCCAGGCTGGCTTCAAACTTGTGATCCTCCTACCTCAGCCTAAGGAGTGCTAATTCATCTTTTAATACTTCATAAAACATTTTAATGCAAACTGTGTCTATTTCAAAAGTGAATGGAAAGGAAATTTCTTTACTTCAGTCTGCTGTAAACTTACTTGCTAAGTGGTAAAGACAAAAATGGTATGTTCATCTAATAAGTGATATGTTCTTCTAAGAATGCTTTCCTGTTCAAACTTCTACAATAATGCCACTCCTTTATTTCTATGTCTCATTAATCTGGCTTCTTTTCTTTATAGTTCTAATATTTTCTGAACTCTCTTTATGAATTTCTTATTGCTTTATGTTTTACTTGCCCATGTGAATGTAAGATTTTAAGGGCAGGAACTAGGTTTTCATCCACTGATGTATTCCCAATACCTGTAAAAATCAACTGGCATAGATGTACTAAAACATATTTGTTGTCTGAAAGAATGAATAGTTATATTTCTGATGAGGAAGTGGAGAAATGAAGGATGGTGGTGAATAACATTTAACAGAGGAAAAGGACAGAAGAATGAACAACTTTGATACTTCTTTCTGGAAGCCACAGACCACATATTGAGAATATCTGAAGTAGCTGCCTCATTAATTAGTACATTGACTTCCTTGAACAATGAGTAGAAGAATTCTATAAAGAAAGTATTTCACACAAAAAAGAGATATGTCTGAAATATTGGCAGTTCTCTATTTGGACTAATAAGGTGAACCAAAATGACATACATCAGGGTGTTGAGTATTGATGCAAATGGAGTTACTCCAATGCCTCCAGCCACACAAAGGCTAACCTCATAGTTCAGTGATTCCTCAAATGGACTTCCAAATGGACCATCAATGTATAGTCTGTGAAGAAGGCAGACAAAAGTTGGAAAAATGAAAATAAGTTAATTTTCTATAACATGTAACAAACACAGGAGTCCAGTTTCCCTAATAACTTAGGCCTTATTTCATTGTTTCTCATAGTGATAAGCTGCAAGGAGTATTAAATGTTGTTTATGAACTGTTGATAATAAAGCAAGTATATTTACCATCTAAGCTCACCTTTTCTGAGGAAAATATTAATTAAAGTATAGAGAAATGCAAAGTAGGTCCATGCTAGATAGGTAAGGACAAGTAAAGCTCTAATCATATTATATTATGATATTTGACCAAATGAAAATACCATTTGCTATGTCTAACTTCAAGAGTATGACCTTCAGAGGCAAGGTCTATAGCAGAATTATATACTTAACATTTACTATGTGACAGAGAAATAAATAGGAGGAAGGAAAATAGTCTAATACTGTTCCTCTTTTTTTCCTGGTTAAGTTTGTTAAGTATAGAAACAACTGAAGAAAAACTGGAATGGAAGGTTTACTTACTCTTCCTGTTCTTGTATGTGGGGAATGTGTGTATGTGTATGTGTATGTGTATGTGAGAGAGAGAGAGAGAGAGAGAGACTCCTTAACTGCAGTAGAAATGGCTAATTGTCCACTTAACAGCCACCTTCCCTTTTTTAGTAACAGAACATTAATTATATTCAGGCAAGCAAAGTATCCAGCCAAAATACCACATTTCTCAGATTCCACTCATCTATTTTGGTTGTGAGACAAAGTTTTGGCTAATGTGGTATAAATGGATCTGCAATTGGAACAACTGGAGTGTCCTTATAAGAAACTGTCTCAGCTGGATGTTTCATCTCTCTTCACCTCATCTTTACTTCTTCCTCTTTAATGCCTGAACTGTTCATTTTATGGTCAAAGTAGTCATTGCTGATCACTGTAGAATTACCATACTTCCTATGAACTCCCTCTTCCAAATATCTTTATATGAAAGACAAAATACTTATGTGTATAAGATACTGCCATTTTACAGTTTTTCATTATAAAAACAACTTCTTAGGAATTAGTAACTTTTTAAAAAAGTACATTTGTATAGCAAGCCTTTTAATGTACGTGTCATTTATAATTAGGAATGGGCTGGAGGTGTGGCTCAAGTGCCTGCTTGCAAGTGTGAAGCCCTGAATTCAAAGCCAGGTCCTGCCCCCCAAAATTTTATATATATATATATATATATATATATATATATATATATGGGTGTGTGTGTTTGTATACATATATATGTGTGTATACATATATATATGTGTGTGTATATATATATAATTTTATATATATATACATATATATATATACACACACATATATACACATCCATATAGTTAGAAGCCATTATAACAGTAGACCAGTTAAGATTATGCATCTATGGGCTTAATTGTTCAATGCTTGCTAAATGTTTGCTAAATAAATTAATAAACAGACATTCCTTTGAACTCTGAACTCTATGGTATATAATCTGTGTTTTATAACTAGCAGCCATTGCTAATACATGGTTTTCTCTCTTTCACTCAAGAGATTATACTTCTAGGTTTTCGTGATCACATTGGGTCTTATAGCTAGTTCTTATAACCACTGGGTGGTAAACGGAAGCAATATTTGTCACTTCTGGAATGAAGCAGGAAACTATTATTTCCATGGGAACTAAAAGCCCCAAATCAAACCAGATGAGAGAAACAGACTGAACCTCTGAGTAATCAAAGACCTCTCAAAGCTGTCTTTGAGATCCACTGAACTCTCAGAAGACAATGCATGAACGAGAAATAAGTTTGCTTAGTGTTTCACCTCATTTTCAGGAATACGTCAAGGTTACTTAGCTACCGCAGAACTTAAATCATCATGCCTAGTGCATGTGTTATATACTTTAGTTTTAAAAGAGGAATGTGTAAGAGTGCTGGCTTTAAAAATCTATTTAAAATGATATTTCTTTGATCTCAAGACACAATAACCAAAGTTAAAATGCCTAATGTATTATTCTAAATATAGCAGAAATCAGAAAATCAGAAATCAGAAATCAGAAAATCAGAAATCAGCAAAATCAGAAAATACTGATAGATCGCATAATTATGACATGTAATTCTTATCACATCCATTTAATTCACATATTACAATGTACTCAATAATCATGTACATTGTGCCTATTATTTGTGTGATGCTATTTTTGACTCAATAATTAAACTGACAACATACCTACCCTAAAGAAATGTTGCATTGTTATCTGAAAACCATATTAAGTGGACTGAAGAACAAAATTAATTCAATACACTCATCTTTTAAAAGATGAAATCTTTTTTTTTTTACAGACATCAGTGATAGAATTGAATATTTCACCACCAAAAATGAGAGGAGTCATGAAAAACAACCCTTGTTACTACTTGTCTGTTTTCCGACCAACACACTCTCTTCATTTCCCTTTGGTATTTTGAAATAACCTTGAAAAAGAAGGTTAAAACTTAAGAGTTCTAGTCACTTACTAGGGCGGTGTGTGTGTGTGTGTGTGTGTGTGTGATAGACAGGTTACGTCCTCTCTAAATTTGATGTCCTTCATCTAGAAAAGGGTCAATGAGACGTGACACTAGAGAAAACCTGTTAAGAATTATAGACTGCCACAAAAATATCAGAGATTCTTTTTGTTAATGATAGTATGCCTCCATTAGGTCATCTGAGAGGTCCAGTATGGATAAAAGAAATGGACTAAGCTGTGTGAGATGGGAAATGCAGACAGCAATTTGGATTCATGGATCTTGGAGAATCAGTGCTTTTAATCCAAAATGTTTTTGTTAAAATTTAATTTTAACTGATACATTAAAACAAAAACTATACATATTGATAGGACATTGTGATATTTTGATATATGTTTACATTGTATAATTCTGATTTAAATCAGATTAATCATATCTCTCTCCTTAGGTATTTATCATTTCATTATGGTGAAACCATTCGGAATCCTTTAACTTTTGGAATATAGAACATATAATTGCTATCTACAGTCTCATTACTGTGCAATGGCCAGAACTTTTCACTCATATTTAACCGTAACTTAGTATCCATTGGTCAATCTTCCTTCTCCACTCCTCCCACTATTGTCCTCAACAACTGATAAATGCCATTTTACTTTTTTGCACAAGGTAAGACAAAAGTTTTCTTTTCTTGAATAAGAGCTGTAAACAAATTACTTACAGTTTATTATTTGGCAAAACCTAGTTTGTTCGGTTTTTTTTTAGGAAGACAGATAAAAGAAAATGACTTAAATTGTCTTATGAATGAAGACAAAATACTGTGCTTTTCATTTATGAGAAGTGACTTTATATAGTACCTCATCTGTACTATTCTCATTATGTGATGAGATAACAGAAATTATTTTGCAAGAACATAGTTCAGATAAACTTTACTTATTTTTAAATTTCAAATAATGACTAATGAAAAGATCCTTTAAGAAGGATTGTGAATCTCAGCGAATTCTAAAAAAGGGAGGGGTGGGCTTCTTCCCTGACCCAAACAAAAACACACACATTTTTATAAATTTTTCCTGGGAAAGCAAAATTCATGAATATTTTCTAAATTGGTTTAATTGTTTAATTAAAATTGAGTTGCTTAACCAGTTATATCAGATCTCCTCTCAATGGAGAAACTCATAAATTAATTCAACTATAATTTAATTCAACTACATTATAGTGAAAAGTATAACTGATAGTTCAAAAAATCCTGTCTACCAACACTTGCTACAAGACACACTGATACCATAACAAATTAAAATAGACTTTACTTAGACAACCTGAGGAGAAAGCTAGTCCTACTTTAAGAAAATACCTTTATTGAATTTTTTAAAAAGTAGATATTAATTATATCAGTATTTCCCAAACAAAATTTTATAGAACTATAATACAAGGGGGGGGGAAAGTATGTTATGGTTAAATAAACTATGCTAACTAAATTAAAATTAAAAGTTGGCTTGATTTAAGATATCTGCAATATAAAACCTTCCAATTTTTGGAAGAAGTCATAGCAATTTACTCACTTAAGAAAAAAAAATACAGAACAATATTTCCCACTTTCTTACAATGGTAGCATCCCTGAGAGTCATTTTAGTCTAATTAGATCAAGCAGATGTTCTGGGTTGGGCTTCTAAGATCCACCTTCAAAGCAAGGCCAATTCAACCTCATGTGCTTTTCTCCTCTTCCTTCCCCTGCCTGGAGAAGGACAAATGACTGAAGCCCTCATTACAGAGGGATGAGAAGAGAGAGGCAGACACCCCAGATGTAACATGCTGACACTGTACCAATACCAGCTGCCATTTATCTTCATTTTCTTGTTACAAGAGAAAAATAAACACCCTTCAGGTTTGAGCACATGTACCTTTATATAGCTGAAGGCAAATGCACCTGGATAAAGCTTTTAACATGGAATCTAGAATATAGTAAACATTGAAAATTAATATGCTATTATTAATAAAGATTATAATTTATGTATATTAACTTAATGTTAACATAAATATATATTTTTGGAAAATTATTTGCTTTTCTTATCTTTATCAGCTTTTATTTCAAAGAATTCTTCATTAAAAAATAAAAAGTATCCCATGTTTATTTCAAAAACCTACAATAATGTATAAGTAAAATAGACACTCCTTATTGAACATTTCATTTAATCCAGGGCCTGTACATATTGTTCGATATATACCTTCACTCTTTAGTCACACAATTACTTTCACAGGAAAGAAAAATAGATCTCCATTTTATTGGAGAACTGAAATTCAAAAATATTAAGTATTTTTCTCAAGACCACATATAGATTAAGGGAAAGAACTTCTGCTAAGTTACTCATTAGTCTTCCTCCAAAGTTCATTTCCTTTATTAATCAGATATAAATCATTCCAGTCAATTGCCAATTAAGGATAATATATGAAAGCAAAAAACAAACAACAAAACAAAAACAAGATGGGGGAGGTTCCTGGGCCATCCATTATCGAACAATTC